AGGAATCGGCCTACGTTTGGCTAAACAGGCTGGACACGGTGGAGTACGATATTGGCGAGTCTGAATATTTATAAAAATTTGCAAAGTAAAATATGTTGGAAAAATAATTAATCCATACATATATAAAAGCTCAAAGGTTTTTTTTGTTGCATCCATCACGCCGAGGTGTAACGCGAACGTAGTCGCGAGAAAAAGCTAGTAATTTATTAAATTATTTTATTTAACTCATTAATTTTCATTGAAAAGGAATTTTTGTAATTCGCTACTATATTAGTTAAAAACTAAGAAACTCATATCAAATTTAAGTTTTGCGATTTTGACTTATACTTTTTACAAAATCTGAACACATTTTAAAAGAAAAAAAGTTTTTTGATAATATTTGTGTAGATTGACTACAAGTTGTATGACATAAATTTCTACGACCGGTCTACCTAGTGGTCTGCAGCATCGCCTTGTGGTGCAAACGTGGGCCTGTTAATCTGTGATGTGACGCACAACAGCCAAGAAAAACAGAAGCGTGGCTAAGAATTTAGTAATTTAAAAAAAAGTCTTTTAGATACAGTAGTAGGTATTAAAAAAGTTTTGTGTTTAAATGGGGTTTGCCTTTAACAGTTAAAAAATTATATCGTAAAGTGTAACTTTCCGTAAGAATTCTTTTTTTTGCTTGCTTGTTTTACGGATAGGTGCGATCGCATAATTATTATTGATAATGTTTTATTTAATTTTAACATTACTACTTTTTCAGTGAATCTTTAAATCTGTTGTTTTTTGTTAAGTTCGTTATTTAAACATATGTATGTAATACACTCATATTAACACTAATCATATTTTTACGTTTTTATTCATCATTTTCAATGCCCCCCCGGTTGCATCTTTGTAAAGGACTGTGAATTTTTCTGATAGAATTTACAAATTTTATGTCACTGATAATTTTTACCACCCTACCGAAATCCAAAATTTCTTTAAACAAATTGAATTATTACAACATCTATTAATTTTAGATATATAATATCAAAAAATGGCAAGAAAAGTTACCGTATTGTACGTATGTATAACCCAATAATAAAATAAAAAATAGGGTATTCCCATTAGAAAATATGTTATATCCGCAACACTTTTTTTGAATTACCCTGTATACTCTATACAGTAGTACTATATACTATAAGTACTACTTACCAATAACTTTTTTATTTAACATTTTGATCTAAAACCGTAAAAAAACGTATTATGTAAAAAACATCGTGTAAGGGATAAAGGGGAAAACAGCCAAAAGGGGGAAAACAGACGATGAATACAATGTTAAAGACCGAATATCATATTAAAGATACAAAAATTTATTACTGTATGCGTTATTATTTGGCCATCGTTTGTTATATTCAATTGCAATTTAATATGTGTTTGGCTTTCTTTCACTATGATCCCACTCGGCTTGTCTCGTGGCAGGTTGGCGTAAAAAATGGATAGAAAATGTCTCGCTCTCGTCTCGCTCTTGTCTCGCTCTTGTCCCGCTCTCGTCTCGCGCTCGGCTCGTCAGGTCTGGACGCACCATAGACTGCCGGAGTGGTGACTTCACGAATGTCAAATTGCTTTCCAAACAAGGTTTAGTTCTTTATATTTCTATTGAGCTCTTCCAAATGACGTCACAAATTAATATAAAATGTAAAAACAGGTGATTGCCGACAACCGCCGACCGTGTATCTGGTATTTTCAATACGCCTTATATTATACGCCCTATAGGGGCATGGTTGCGCATGTTGCAAAACCTGTGAATTTTTTTGTAACGTCGCGCGACTACTGGAGCGTAGCGTCGAGTTTTCGTCGGTCGCGAACAGTAGTATCTGGAACTGGTTACTTAGTTACTGCCATTACTCGCTGACGAGTATTTGACACGCATCAGAAGATAGTTACGCAAGGCGTCTTCTGTCATGAGCTTTTGTCAAGAGCACTGGAACTGGTAAGTACATAGCGTCGCCTGATCTCGGCCGCTTTGTCTGTCGCGAAGGGATGTAACTGGTAATGACCTATACTGCGATGGACTTCGCTCCAGTGTCAGTGGTCGCGCGACTGCTGGAGCCTATGGTCGCGAATAGTAGTAACTGGAACTGGTACATAGCGTCGCGCGATATCGACCGCTTCGTCTGTTGCGAAGAGATGTAACTGGTAACGACCTATACCGCGACGTACTTCGCTCCAGTGTCAGTGGTCGGGCGACTGCTGGAGGAATATAGTGAATATATTTAAGAACAAAGGAATTGCATCAGACTGCGCAAACTACCGGGGAATTTCACTACTGGTTATCGGAGGAAAAATTCTTGCAAAAATTATGTCAAACCGCCAACAAAAAATACATAGAAAAAATCCTACCAGAATCGCAAACGGGTTTTCGCACCAACCGCGGCACTGTCGATTCCATATTCTCCATCCGCCAACTACAGGAAAAAGTAAAAGAGCAGCAGTGTAAACTTTATGTTGCATTCATCGACCTAACAAAAGCCTTCGATTCCGTAAATAGGGATGCACTTTGGGCAATTATGAAAAAGTTCGGAGTATCCAACAAATTTATTGCAGTATGTAAAAGCCTCCATAAGAACAACAAGTCAAGAATGTCACATCATGGATTACTGAGTGATCCCTTCCTAACAAATACAGGAGTTAAGCAGGGATGTATCTCAGCGCCTCTTCTATTCAATATATTAATGGCAGTGCTCTCCATTATAGTGGACAGCAAACTACAGGAAAGAGGATTGGGCATTCGATACAGATACGACGGCCGGCGGTCGCAACCAAACCAAACCTCAGGGTAAAAATACATATAAAATTCATCACAGTAGTCCAATACACTGATGACTGCGCTCTAGTTGCAAAAACGTTACAGCAATTACAAGAAATGTTGAACACATATACCTGGACATACGAAGCTTTGGGTCTTAAGCTGAACATTGATAAAACTAAAATCATGTGCACTCGCCCGGAAGATCACAACAATGTTATAAAAATCGGAGAAGAACTATTGGAATATGTAGCGGAATTCAATTACCTCGGCAGTTTTATTTCGGAAAATCCATATCCAATATCGACTCCGAAATTCAGCACAGGATTAGCAGCGCCTCAAGAGCATTCTGGAAATTAAAAGACAGGGTTTTCTACAATCATGACTTAAGCACAAAAACGAAACTTGCAGTGTACCGAGCGATAATATTCCCTACCATGCTGTCCGGAAGCGAAACCTGGGTACTGTACCGCCGACACATGAAAGCATTAAACAAGTTGCAACAGAGACACCTTAGACAACTCTTTAGAATCAAATGGTTCCACCATGTCTCAAACGTATCGGTCCTTAAATAAGCTAACTGCGAGAGCGTTGAAGTCATGTTTACAAAATCCCCCTTAAGATGGGCTGGTCACGTATGCAGAATGCAAGAAAACCGCCTACCAAAATCTCTGCCTTACGGTGAGCTTGTAGATAGCAAGAGGACCGGGTGGACAACTCAAAGAACCGGATGGACAACTCAAAAGGTACAAAGATATTTTACACGAAAACTTAAAGGGGATAAACATGTAGAATGAGTGGGAAGAAGCAACGCACAATAGAACACAATGGAGAAGAATTGTAAACTCAGTTAACAGCGACAACCAAACAGTAAAGTGGCACCAAAGTAATGAGATATTTGAATGTCCGGAGCGCAGAAGAGAGATAAAATCGTGTATAGGACTTTTCAGTTACAGAAAAGCTCATGAAAGAAAACGTCTTGCGCAACCATCTTCTTGATGCGTGTCAAATACTCGTCAGCGAGTAATGTATGTTCGGCAAATTAGATATTTATAAATAAACACTTTTACAAAAATAAGAAAAAACAAGACCGAAAAAAAGGAAATTTGTAAACCTACTTTCGATTTAAAAAATTAAACATACAGGGTGTCCCAGAAATAAGTGCAAGTATTTTAAGGTGTGGTAGATCTGGTCAAAAAAACATTTTTTCTCTTTACCGTTTTTCGAACAAGTCCAAAATAACCGAGTTATTTTACTTTGAAAATTTCCAAAAAAATGATTTTTTGTTAAAATTCTGGGTATCACTGGATATTTTCTGGATTTTTTCATGTAAATTTAAGCTACTACCTATGTTGCCATGCTATTAAGAAATTATGTATTTAACGTAAAACTAAAAAGAATTCAACAATTTTTTGCAAAAAAATCCTTTTTTTTTTGCAAAATATACCTCATAGGCGTGTTTCTGAAGCCGAAATATACTACCAGTTAAAATACTTGCACTTATTTCTGGGACACCCTGTATAACCCCAATTAGAGTTATATAGTCTGCAAAGAAAGAGAATTACATTTTACTAACATACGTAAATAAAGTAAGACTGAGTTTATTTTGATTATTTGACATTAACATTTTACTTCTAACTTTTCCACCAATAAGGAATATACGTATAGATAAAAACATACACGTAGATAAAGAAATTTAGCATATGGCGTAGGTATCTCGAATAAGTTGTATTTTCAAAATTAAAAGCTAACATAACTAAATTCTTCTAGCCATCTGGATGTTGTTTATTGTTTACAAATTTGGGTGGAGGGTTATGAATTGTTATTGTTTATGTGAATTTGCACAAACACAGAAATAACGGCAGGGAGAGGAGTAGGTACAGTAACCAGAAATACCACAAAGGCGGAAACAACGACACTTTGAGCATCGGTTACAAAATCGCGATATTTGTCGCGGTATTTCTCTGGAACTGTCGCTATTGTAACGCGACTAATGTGGAACCGGTATTCCTATCACTAGCTTCAATCAGTCGTAAACAGTCAACCGTCAGTGTTATTTATTTTAGTTGGTATTGTATCGTATCTCAATTCCATTACGACAAATATAAACATTTGGTTACTTCGTTCCAAATAAAGTTGGAAAAATAAAATAATCCCTTAATTTTTTGTAATTGTTATTTTTGTTTTCATATTGTATATTGTTTAAAAAAATGTACTTTTTTTCTTTTAGGAATTATAACCAAAATATTAACATTAAAACCATTCCAATTATTGAACAGACTTACATTTTGTATGTACCTTACACACGCGTTTCCAATAAGCTATACAGTTTTCAGATTAAGAACCAAGTTAGTCTTAACCGAAGGAGTTATTGTAAGTATTCAAATACTTTTTATTTTTAATAATCTTAAGACTATTGAAACTTTGGTATCAGTAAACAAGATTGCGTTTTTATTTGTATTTTATAAATCTGAAAATACATACATTTGCAATTTATGAATTCGCCTATGTTATTCTTTATAAAATATCAATAACATTTGAATTGTTCATTTTCAACTACCAGTCTTCTTGTATATAATATAAAAAATGCTAAAATTTCTATATTTTTTCAGATCAATGAATTTATTTCGGCTTATGTATTAACAGTACTTCTTTCTATTCTTTGGACGCTAGCCTTGGAATCACCTATAATGATACTTCAAAATATTTTATTAAGAAAGAGAAAATAATTAATCATTGTATAAATTAGAATATTAATTTATTAAGTGTGCATAATAATTATTAAAGTATTTTAAACTTACGGGCCATATAAATATTATATTTTGTATATTTTTTAATAAAAATTTACTTATTTCAAAATTGAGATGAATGAGGAATAAAATGGACGAAGAACATTTTTGTGAGATTTTGCTATCAGAACTTATATGGTAAAAACACTCCTGTGTAAATTTGTTAAGTTAGCGTCTCCTTTGTGCTGTTAAGGCTAATCTATTTTTGGTAGGTCTATTTTTTTAAAGAAGTTTGGGAATCTGTTGGAAGACATTCAGGCTTTGGCCCATAAGGCGGTCTTAGTGCCTGGATAGTGTCGGGTTGGTGCCCCCACTCTGGGAGGTATCCGACCTACTAAACCCATCTCCTCTGTTCCTGCCACACTTACTGGTCCCGTCCGTGGATATCGACGCAAGTAAGTGCCGGTATTACTTTCTTCATTTTTTTCCCTCGTTACTTTTACTTTTCTTCTTTCTCATTCTTTTCTTTCTCCGACATTATACCTTTAATATAGTCATTAATGTGATTCCAGTTCTCTTTGGTTTTAAGCTTAAGGCTTACCATATTTCCAACCTTACTTTACTGTTACTTACCAGTTAACTGAGCTAATACAGGCAAGCCTGGATAGCAAAGAAACAGCACTTTGTGCCTTCTTGGACATTGCAGGGGCGTTTGACAATATACCTCACAAGGTGGTCAAGCGATCTCTTGAAACAAGAGGGGTGAACAGTACGATAATTCGCTGGTTTTGGGAAATGCTCTCAACACGAACAGCAGAGGCTGAGATAGGTACCAAAACTGTAGTTGTTAAAACAACGCAAGGGACTCCACAAGGTGGAGTGACCTCCCCCCTACTGTGGAGCTTGGTAGTGGATGAACAACTGGAAGAATTAACTCTAGCGGGAATACACTGCATAGGGTACGCAGATGACATAGTCATCATTGCACGGGGCAAACATGAAGGCACCTTGTGTGATATTATCCAAAGAGGACTCCGCATCGCTGAGAGATGTTACAGGACTGTCGGACTGAGTATTAACTCAGATAAAACCGCAGTAGTGCCATTCACTAGAAAGCGAAGTTTGAAAAACTTGAAAAGAATCCATCTAGATGGAAAAGAAATACTGCCATCACAGGAAGTGAAATATCTGGGAATAACCCTGGATAGTAAACTTCTCTGGAACAGGCATATTAAGAACATTACCAGCAAAGCCACAAAGGCTCTCATGATATGCAGATGACTGGCGGGAAATAGGTGGGGCTGCGCCCCTAACATTTTGCGCTGGATGTATACCATGATGGTAAGACCGATGATTACTTATGGAGCAGTTGCTTGGTACAAAACTAGAGCAACGTACAGCAAGGCAAAACCTGTGCAAAGTACAGAGTACTGTATCTGCATCACAGGTGCCATGAGAACATGTCCAACAGCAGCAATGGAGGTCATTCTAGGCCTAACACCACTGCACATTGTCGTCGGTAGTTATGCCAATGCGACAATGATTAGAATGGTTACTGACGGAAACAGTACTCGGAGAATTTTCAGGTCAGGGGCTTGGAACACCCTCAAAAAGAAAATTCCACTTCTCCAACTTCCAGTGGATGACATACCAAGAATTTACAACTTTGAGAAACACCTCACTGTAGTATTGGGTATTAAAAAGGATTGGAAGAAAGAAACGCTTACTCAGCATATAAAAGACCATACCATCACGTGGTATACTGATGCTTTCAAAACCAAAGCAGGGACAGGGATAGGAGTATTTGGACCGAAAACTGAATACTCCGAACCAATGGGCACCTACCCCAGTATCCTTCAGGCAGAAATTTGCGCTATCGAAAGATGCGTACAATTTATCTTAGATAGGAACTATCGAAAACAGGAAATTGCCATCCTATCCGATAGTCAAGCAGCACTTAACGCGATCAACTCAGTAACCATCAATTTGAAGTTGGTCAAAGAATTCCTAGAGAAGCTCAACAAATTAGGCAAAGAAAATAAAGTCCTCCTACTCTGGGTGCCTGTTCACCAAGGGATAAAAGGCAATGAAAAAGCAAATGATCTAGCTAGAAAAGGAGCGAACACTCCACGAACTGGACCAGAACCGTTCTGTTTTCCAAACGGGAACCAACTGAAAGCGGAACTGAAGCATCTGGAAGACTCCATCCGTAACTTGGAATGGGTATCCTCCAACGGTCTAAGACACTCGAAAAAGTTCCTTAGAACTTATGACCGAGAAATCAAAGGTTTTCCTTGATTTAAGTAAAAACAATCTTCGGATTGTCACGGGGTTTCTAATAGGACACTGTCTCCTCAACGAACACCTCAGTAGGTTGAAACTGAGAAACAACGGCGAATGCAGATTTTGTGGGGAAAATGGAGAAACACCAGAACACCTTATCACTGAGTGCGCCGAAACGACGACCATTCGTGCCATGAACCTTGGTACGTCTGATGTCGAGGATGGAGAGCTGGCCTCTGTGGAGCCGTCTCAGATACTGGCTTTTCTTAAAGCCCTGAGACTGTATGATGAGTTATAACTCGTTATAACTCAAGAAAGGGGAACATACAATAGATCTATAAGGTCGCGGTGATTAACTCCCCTCCTAAACATTCTACATTCTACATTCTACAAGGAAATGGACAAATCGTAAGGTCATAATTCCTATAGAATAAAAATATGATAAAAAGTTCATTAAGTTTTAGGATAAGTGGGAAATTTTTAACAAATTTGAAGTTTCTAGGACACATTGCATTGGTTCAAATAAATGTCTCAAGTTAGAACTTTTGCATAATTGCTGACTGTCCAGCATATTGCATTGAGTCGATTCACTCTGTGGCGGCGGCGGACCCAGTCACACACTAGTGGCGTACAGACTTAAGTCCATGAACGCATAATGGGTAAGATGCGGTTCGTCGATGTGTTTCGACGATGTGTTTAATTTAGTTATCATACTCATAATGCGTTAAAACTGTTTGTCAATACGATTCGTTAGTTCATTAGGAAAATTTTCCACTGTGCGACAACACTGATATTTATTTTGATGGTTTGTCCTAAAACCGACTTCTCTGCGAACCCCCGAACAACGCACCGCATCGACGAACCACATGAACGCATAGTGAGTATGGGCTTTAGCGAGTAGTGATGAGCAAAATGCAATCTCATGATGACCAAAACCAAGACTCACCTTCCTAGGTCTTCAAGTTTTTCAGCCATTGAATTTTAACATACTAATTTTTATAGTATAACTAATAACATAAGTAATAACATAACTAATTTTCAATATTGAATCATCATAGGTTATAGTTAAATGCCGCGTTGTCAGTGTAATATTGAATCATCCTATGTATTAGAGTTAAATGCCGTGTTAACACTACTATTTTATAGAGATGAGCAGAAAATCGCAAACTGCGATTTAATTGCAGCGATTGTAAATTCGCAATCGCAACCTGTGATTCCTTTCCATAACAAACTGCGACTTGCGATTGAAACATATATCTGCCTACTTTGGATTTTTAGGCAACCAATATTACACCAGTTGCGATTTGCAATCGCAGTGGGCACGCGAACGAAGAGCTGCGAACGAAAATCACAGCATTGCGATTTTCGTTTGCACCGGCGGTGCATCGACACGGCACTGAGAAGTAGAGATGGGCAAAAGTAACCGGTTTTTTGAATAACCGGTATTTTCTCTAAAATAACCGGTTATTTAAAGGTAGTTTTTTTTCACCAGTTAACCTAATAACCTTGCATTACGTTCAATAACCTATAGCCGGTTATTTTTTAAAAAATCGTACTTGTTTAAAACAAGTAACAATTAAATATTAGCTGTTTGAATCGTAAATTTCGAAGAAGCGAACGGCACGGATCTTCCAGATATTACGACGATAACGGGAGATCCCGCTCCCGCTCCCAAAACGAAAATATATGACATCAAACATCAAATGTCAAAATTAAATCAGGCATCAGGCGAACCCTGATGATAATAATCAAAACAACGGCCAAATGGCCCTGACAGGTCAGGCCGTAAAACAAAGTACTAATGGCATAGACTACTACTAGCCACCAGCTAGCCAAGTGATACGAACCTAACTTCAAATAGATTCTCTAAATTCTATATTTAAATTTTAACCGACTTTAACGGATTTTCAACGGTTCTTCAAAAGTCTTCCATGGTTTCGCCCAGTTTCACCCACGTTTCACCGTAAATATATTTTATTTGTAGTTTGAAGTCTCTCTTGAAGCTTAGACTAAAGAATACAAAATTAAAGTTCAAGTAATGAATGAAGATAATCTTTCATTATCTATTCATTCAGTCTCCTTATTTTTCTTTGGTATTTGATTAAAATAACTTGGTTGTAGATTGTAGAACTTGTGAGTTGTGTAGTTTATTTGAACGTTAAGTAATTACTAGTTTTAATATCATATCAATGTCTACTCAAAAAGTGAGGTTAGCATTTTTATTTAAATTCATTTTGTACATATACATACTTACATTGCTACAATCTCTATTTAATCATGCGATTTAACTAAGTTTGTTATCTAAATTTGAAGTAGATCTATGGAGTGTAGAGGTAAGTAAACCTATAGGAAAACTAAATA